AGAGAGAGAGAGAGAGAGAGAGAGAGAGAGAGAGAGAGAGAGAGAGAAGATCATCCAACTGAACTTACCTGGATCAATTTCTTCCCTCTATTATCAGGAATAAGTTTTGTAACTGAGGCTGGCCTTGAACTCCTGATGTCCCTGCCTTCACCTCCACAGTCGTGGGATCATAAGCATGTGCCACCATACCTGACTAATTTCCTGCTTTTAATTCCTAATCACTCCACTGAGTATCCAAGGAATTGGTTATCAGTGTCAGCTTTGAACGACTAAAGTTGCCGCTGGATGTTTAGAATGGACTTGCAGCTCTCTCTTGCCCTCCACTCAGTAGCGTTCCCTTAGAGGTGATATGTGTTTGCTACTTTGCAGCCATTCTGCACTCCAATGGAGATGAGATGAGAGGAACGTGCTCTCAAACGGCCAGTCCAGGGAAAGGAAAATGATCTCATTTATCACTGGGAAGACGTTACTGTAGTGTAACTCATTCAGGGTATCACCCTTTTTTGAAAAAGAGGGTCGCAGACAAAGGTTAGGCTCTAATAACAATAATAAAACTTATGTGATGTAATACTATAAGAAGTATTTATGGTTTTTTAAATGTAGATGCGGTGCTAACGTATGAAGTTCTTTAATAATAATAATGAATTCTAGGACCAATAGCCAAGCCCCATTTAAAAAAAAAAAAAAAACTTGAAAAATGTTTTAAAATACTGGGGGGTTTTGTTGTTGTTTTTTGAGACAGGGTTTCTCTGTGTAGCCTTGGCTATCCTGGACTCACTTTTGTAGACCAGGCTAGCCTCAAACTCACAGAGGTCTGCCTGCCTCTGCCTCCCTGATTGCTGGGATTATAGGCATGTGCCACAATGCCCGGCTAAAAATGGTATTTTCAAACAAGATCATACTCTCCTGTCCAGGCTACCTCATCTGTGTATTGATCTTCCTGCCTCACAGGGAGCCACCATGCCCAGCTAAACTCTTATTCTTTGGCACTTCCTGTGGTTCCCTCCCTCTGGAGGTAGGGTCTCTGTAGTTCAGGCTGGCCCTCAACTGAAGGCAGTCACCCTGCCTTGACCTCAAAAATGCTGGGGTTATGGGTCCAAGCTACCACAACAGGCTCCTTTTCGTCTATTAGAAAAACGTGTCGGATTATAGTTAAAGGGGGCTTCTGTTCATAGTGAGGTAGCAGAGGTAAAGGAGATGCTAGGGACTATTGGTGTGTGCTGAATCAGGGGTCTGGGGAGTACAGGGATGGCTAGAAGTCACAAACACTGAATAGAGCAACAGGTGATACTGGAAGAGATGGGAAACCACCACGATGGGACTGAATCTAGACTAACGGCTTGATGAGAGCTAATGTCAAGATAGTACTGCAAAAATAAAGTAACCCTCCAACTAATATTTTTCTTTTTCTCTCTCCCTACCTCCAAGTTAAATAATGGCAGAGACAAGTCTGTTAGAGTCTGGAGCCTCGGCAGCCTCCACAGCTGCTGCTCTGGAGAACCTGCAGGTGGAGGCAAGCTGTTCCGTGTGCCTGGAGTATCTGAAGGAGCCGGTCATCATCGAATGCGGGCACAACTTCTGCAAAGCGTGCATTACCCGCTGGTGGGAGGACCTAGAGCGGGACTTTCCTTGCCCTGTCTGTCGGAAGACATCCCGATACCGGAGTCTCCGGCCTAATCGACAACTAGGCAGTATGGTAGAAATTGCCAAGCAGCTACAGACGGTCAAGCGGAAGATCAGAGACGAGAGCCTCTGCTCCCAGCACCATGAAGCCCTCAGCCTCTTCTGCTATGAAGACCAGGAGGCTGTCTGTTTGATATGTGCAATTTCCCATACCCACCGCGCCCACACCGTCGTGCCACTGGACGATGCTACACAGGAGTACAAGGTGGGCAAGCAGACACATGACGCCAGTGTGGGCACAGAGGGAAGCAGCAGAGAAAGCACTCTCTCCTGAGGCAGGCTGTCTGCTCCTCCAAATCCCTCAGAGCTGTGTACATGGGTGCTCAGTAGCTCAGCCAGTTGTCCTCCACAAGAACAGTGAGAAGCACCCCAGAGTTTCCGTGACTTATTGCAATCCTATTGAGTCTTCAGAGTTTGGTATGTATGGTCTTGAAATGAGGGAAACCACACGAAAATCTGAAAATGTTCTGATTTCTTCATTTATGCCTGTTTACTTAGGATGTTCTTCTTTTCCCTGCTGGAAATAGCTAACATCACTTTGCACTGATATGCAGCAGAGTGAGCTGAATCACTCTGCATCTTCCCATATAAAGGGTAACAACATTTAACATTTAATTGCTGGTGAGGGCACAGGGCAAATATTTTAGTAATAAAAATCAAAAATGGTACTGCCTAGAATTTTTATTCATTCTGCTTAAATAACAAAATCTTAAAAAATATTTTAGGTAATGTGCAGTCAAGCTTTATTTTTATAAGTGGCTAGACTTGAATGGAAGCACATGTTGAAGAGGATATTAAGGCAGGCTTGTAATCCCAGCACTCAGAAGGTGGAGGCAGGAGGATCAGGAGTTGAAGGTCATCCGCCAGCCTGGCCTGCTGGAGATATTATTGTAAAACAACAACCATAAATAATAAAGGATATTGAGGTACGAAAGTAGCTTCTGGCAGAAGGAGGGTGTATCCTAGTAATAGTGTTCTGCACACCCTGCAAGGCTCCCCAGTGCCGCAGAAAAACAAGCGAAACTGTTAAGTTTAATGTGATAGGCGGTTGTCCATAAAACAGAGTGGGAAAGGACACGTTGATGACGCCTGGACTCCTAGTTCAGGGGAGGAGAGTCGGGTGAGCAGCACACCTGATGGCGGGGAAAGTCCCCATGACATCTCCAGTGCCAGGCAAGGAGGGAGCTGTGTGCAGTGGTGCACACCTTTAATCCCAGCACTCAGGAGGCAGCAGCAAAAGCATCTATCTCTGTGAGCTCAAGGCCAGCCTGGCCTACAAAGTAAGTCCAGGACAGCCAAGGCTACACAGAGAAACCCTGTCTCAAAAAAATCGAAAAAGGAAGAAAAAAAAAAAAGTGATGATGAGAGGGCAGACCCTTACACGGTCACGTGACTAAAAATAAATCTTAACAGCAAAAGAAATAAGTAGGTTATTGCTCTTGAGTAATGGATGTACCAACTAACTCCAGATGTCACCTCTCCGCCTTTCTCCCAACGCTCAGGAGAAACTGCAGAAGTGCCTGGAGCCCCTGGAACAGAAGCTACAGGAGATCACCTGCTGCAAAGCCTCTGAAGAAAAGAAACCAGGGGAGCTCAAGGTAAAGGGCTGGCTATTTGCCTATAAATTCCTTATCAGGAGTTAGCTAGTGAGGAGAAGGATGTAAGAAGTGAAGGAGGGCTGTGAGATGGCTCGCTGGATGAAGGTGCTTGCTCTGCAAGGTAGGAAGAGAACAAAGAGCCCAGAGCTGCCATCCCACTTCCCCATGCTCACCTACTCATTGTGTGTATACACAGCACATACAGTAATGGGTACTTTCAAACAAACAGACAAAACATTTACCTCTGCTAAGTCTAGTATTCTCCTCCCACCCCAAGCAAGGAAAGAGGGTCTTCTAAGGATTCAGGGATGGGAACTTAGCGGGGCCGGAAGAAAGAATTTGGGACGTTCACAGGGGAGGTAGGGAGAAGCTGAGCAAAAGCTTTCAGAACTTTTGTTCAGTAACATTTTCTTTGTTTTTAATTACTCTTTTTTTTTTTTTTTTTTTATGTATCTGGATATTTTGCCTGTGTGTATGCCTATGCACCACATGCCTGCCTGGTGGCCAGGGAGGCTAGAACTGGAGTTACCAATGGTTTCAAGTGCCACGTGGGTGATGGGAATCTGATCTCGGGTCCTCCGGAAAAGCAAATACCTAATGCTCTTAAACTCTCCAGCCTCATGGAACCACATGCTGTTTGCTTGCTTGCTTGTTTATTTGACATGGAGTTTCACTGTGTAGCCTTGGCTGGCCTGGAACTCACTATGTAGACCAGCTTGGCTTCAGACTCAAAAAGACGCACCTGTCTGTGCCTGCCAAGTGCTGGTACTGAAGGCATGCGCCATGCTACTTGGCTTAGAACCACATCCTTATAATTAAGTAAGCGAAGGTGATGTTGATTTGTTGCCAGAATGTCTTTCCCTCCACAGCCTTCACCTGTGGAGTTCTTGGTACACTACCATGACCAAAAGTAACTCAAGAAGAAAAGGTTTGCTTTAGCTTACAGTTCCAGAGAGAATTAGTCTACAGTGCAGGGAAGGCAGGGATAGCAGCAGGAACAGGAAGCTGGCGAATCACTGTCCTCCATACACAGGAAGTAGGTAAGACAATAATCCCTAAACCCCCCAGTGACTGCTTCCTCCAGCAAAGCTCCACCTCTCACCTTCGCTGAGGGCCAAGGCCCCCACCTGGGGACCTAGTGCTCAAGGGTGTGGCCCTGTGGAGGGTGTGTCTCCTTAAACCATGGTGTCTGAACCAAATTAGAGTTGTCTTTAAGTTTTTATCCAGTGGTCTTTGAAACTGCAAGTAAAAACATTCATTTTATGACTGTTTGAATTCATCTTCCTCCCCTTTTTACTCCTTTGCTTCCTCTCACCCCAACCTCCAGAATTGGACTCTTTAACCCTTTAAAATAGTTTGTAGGAGCAGGGCGTGTCCCGATATTCAGGGGACTAAGGCAAGGGTTTATAAGTGAGGAAAACCAAGACTACAGTCTCAAAAATAATTTTCTTTAAGTGTGTAGGCGCTGACAGGTGCGGTATCAGTTCCCCAACACAGCGGACAAAAAGTACAAGTTTCTGACCTGGGCCTGAGGGTGCAAAGCTGTAATCACACATGCAGCTGGGGCAGGGATCCCCGCAGCCCCGATTACTGCCTCAGAGCAGCACAGGCCAGCCTGTGCTTTGTAGTAAGATTGTATCTCGGGGTCAGATAAGATCACCCACCTACAGGTGGGTCTGTATGAGTTTAAGGCCAGTCTTGAATGCTACAGAAAAACCCTGTCTCAAAAAATAATAATAATAATAGCCTACAGAGGTAACTTTAAAGCAGCCCTCATATCCAGTAACAGCAGAGAGTAACTTTTTCCTTTTTTTGCGATAGAGCTTCACGATGTGGGTATGGCTGGCCTGGGACTCAGAGATCTGTCTGCCTCTGCCTCCTGACTGCTGAGACTAAAGGCATGCATACCACTCCCAGCTAAAAGTAATCTCTACTAAGCTCTGATATGTGAGTGTTTGACCCTAACTGCCCTGGAAGACACTGTCGTGTGGGCATATGTTTGCACCTGTGTGTCACACTATCATGCAGTAAATATGGGTTCATCCTGACATAGATGTGAGTCAGACACCACAAGTAGCATTGCTCCTACTGATACGGTGAAGTCTAAGAAAAGCCAAATACAGTAATGGGGGAGGTGGAGACAGGGTTTCTTTGTGTAGCTTTGACTGGATCTCACTTTGTACACCAGGCTGGCCTGGAGCTCATAGGTCCACCTGCCTCTGCCTCCCAAGTGCTGGATTAAAGGTGCACACTACCATCACCCAGCCAGTGTTCAAGGGTTTGTTTGTTTGTTTTGTGTGTGTGTGTGGACATGCACCTACATATCTATGAACACATTTTCCAGAGACCAGAACAAGTCACACCCTGTTAGCTACCCAGTGTGAGGTTGGGAACCAAGCTCAGGTCCTCTGGAAGAGAAGCCAGCATTCTTTTTTTGTTTTGTTTTGCTTTTCAAGACAGGGTTTCTTCAAGTAACAGAACCCTGGCTGTCCTGGACTTGGCTTTGTAAAACAGAATGGCATTGAACTCACAGAGATCCACCTGCCTCTGCCTCCCTGAGTGCTGGGATTAAAGGCCTGTCCAACATGCCCAACCCTAGAAGCATTCTTAACCACTGAGTCGTCTCTCTGGCCCCTGGTAGTCCTAATGAGGATAATTGCTCACACTGAAGCTGTGTTCCTTACAAAGGTGAGAATGCACCCTGCTGCCACCTGCCAAAGCAGCAAGTGACCCTGCAATGAAAGCTCCTTTGTTGTCTGCTAGGCGTAGCTTCAGATTCAGGGCTACCACACTTGAGGCCCACAGGCTTGTATCTGTACCCCACCATTCTTGAGCCTGAGCCCTGACTTTTTGTTCCCGTGCACTCTCTTCCCATCTCTAGAGGGTCTTTTGAGCTGATGCCTCCCTGTCAGCCACGGGACTTAAGTAAGGCTCCTTCACAGAGCAAGGTCAGTGGCAGGAAGGCAGAGAGGGAGGATGCGCTGCTAACCCTCAGAAAGTGATATGGCTTCTGCTTCAGTCCTGTACTCTGGTACTTCAGGGGATTTGTTGGACATAAAAGTATGTTATTGTAAGCAGCTACTTTACTAAAAACATCTGTGAGCACAAAACAATTCTCAGCTACCTCAAAGAAGATAAGCATTTACTCTGGAGCCCAGAGTGAGAGACCATGGCCTTCAGACGATGATTTGGGTTACCCAAATTCCATATTTCAACTTGGAAACAGTTTCATGACGTTTTTATAGTACCGGAACAAAGAAAGCCATAAAGCAAGGCACTTTTGTAGAAGTGCATTGTCAGAGACAGTAACCAGGAAGGTAGTGACATCAAAGTACCTCAGACCACTCAAACCAGAGTGATCTCAGCTGTAATGAGACCTAGTGCAGTCTAGTCTTCCATCTGTTAATCACAGAATGTTATTTAGAGAGTGAATATAGCCCAGGGTAGAATAGAAGTAGCTCTGGGCCTGCAGCAGTCCAGCCTCCACACCGCTGCAGTTCCAGTCAGTCAGCCTTTGCAGACAGCTTCCTTCCAGGAATTCTCAGTCACATAGAAATGGTGTAAATTGTGTGACCTGTTACGAGGGGCATGCTGCACGTAGCTCTGGAGACTGAGACAGGAGGATCCCAAGTTCAAGGCCAGCTTGTGCTGTATGACAAGGTCTGCTCCAGCAAACAAATCAAGGTCAGCCCTAAAGTCTAAATATATACTTTGTATCAACTCATTAAACTGTGGCTGATTCTGATAGTTTCTCCTCTGTTCTCTGGTTTTTATCAGGTCCCTTCCCTACAGTTACTAATGATGGAGCTCTTTAGCTTTCTAGTATTTGTGCGCTCTCTCTCTCTCTCTCTCTCGTAGACCAGGCTGGCTTTGAACTCACAGAGATCACCCTGCCTCTGCCTCTCCAAGTGCTGGGATTAAAGGCGTGCGCCACCACTCCCGCTTTATTTGCTATTTCTTTAGCAGATTTTATAAGCCAAACATCATGGTAGAGAAGAGCAAAATCAGCTCTGATTCTGAAACAGTGGTTTTCATAACATCATTCAGTTCTTAAACCTTGAATGTGTTTTGTTAAAATACAAATTTTTTTAGGAAAAAAAATCAAGTTCTGATTGTTTTGCCATCTTCCCAGTGATTTGCACTAGTAAATCGTCTATTGGGGGTGTGCGGGGGATAGTGTCCCTCACAGGAGAAGCACCTGTGCTCCTAACTGAGCCTGGTGGGCCTGGGAGAGATTTCTCACACTTGCTGGTCCTAACAGCATTCTTTCTCCCTTGTCCTCAGAGACTCGTGGAGCGCCGCCGACAGCAAATCTTAAAGGAGTTTGAAGAGCTCCACAGGCGACTGGATGAAGAGCAGCAGACGCTCCTCTCACGACTGGAAGAAGAAGAGCAGGACATTCTACAGAGACTTCGAGAAAATGCTGCTCACCTTGGGGACAAGCGCCGCGACCTTGCCCACTTAGCTGCTGAGGTGGAGGGCAAGTGCTTACAGTCAGGCTTCGAGATGCTTAAGGTTCGGCCTTCGCTCCTGCGCTCTTCCTCAGGCCTCCTGTCAGCATGGGCTGCACCTCCACTCACCCTGCTTCCCTAAGCCCAGCCCTCTCTTCCAGGGGTTTCTACAGTACAGCATCTCCTCTCTCCACCGTCCCTTCCAAAGAGCCTTTTCTGTCTTTTAAGCAAATCTGTGCTTGGAGCTAGAGAGGTGGCTCAGTGGTTAAGAGCTCTTGCTTCTCTCGAGAGGACCGGGTTAGTTCTCAGCAGCCACATGGCAGCGCCAGGACTCCAGAGCCCTCCGCAGGCCTTGCTTGCACATAGTGCCCATGCGCACATGCAAGCAAGACTTCACACAGATAAAAATAACTCTTTGTGGTTGTTTTGTTTTTCAGAACAGGGTTTCTCCGTGTAGCCTTGGCTCACCTGGACTCACTTCATAGACCAGGCTGGTCTCGAACTCACAGAGATCTGCCTGCTCTGAAGTCTCTATTTTTAGTGTTTGTAATTAGTAGCCAAAAAGAGATAATTCTGTTCAGAAGATAGAAGTCTGTTCTACTTACTGATAAACTATGCATTCAAAATTTCATAAATGAAGTTACCATTACTTCCCAGTCCTAGAACTTGATTTACCTGGTGCCCAGTGAGGGGAGGGAGGTCGAGGGCAGAAGCATAACTGAAAGGCTACTCACAGTAAGCCTCACTTGTAGCACATCACTTCCTCGCAGACATTGGAAATAGTCACTGTCTGCAGCACACGCATGACGGCTGCGAGGCTGCAGGGAACATTTCTTCTCCCAGATGCGATCTCTGGTCTTCGAGTCAGTGAGGCGTCATGCACCTCTGCATGCACCTTACATCCTGCTTTTATTTACCCCTGTGTCTGCATGTGTGTGCTCTGCTAACCACATTAAACTGAATTCTGCAGGGGAAGATTCATTGTGCTTGTCGTCTGGATCTCAAGTAGCCTCAAATCAGGATTGATAAGAATTAATGCTCATTAACCAGTGCTGGACAGGAGGGTCCAGACCACAGCGTGAAATGTACCCCCAGTCTGGAATTGTCTGTTCTGATCCTTAGTGATGCTGAGGTGTGTGGCTGGATGTGGGGGACAAAGAAAAGAGCAGATACAACCTCTGTGTCTTGCAAGGAGCCTCCAGTGTCTTTAAGGAACAAAGACAAATGTACAGGAAACCATTTGGGAGTGAAGTAATTATCAAGCTTTGTGGCGACCAGCAGTTGAAGTTGGGCATTTCTCAGAGATTGCCCCTAGGTCCCTTTGAAGCTTGCCCCCTGCACTGGCACCCTTGGTTTACCTGGTGCAAACCTCAAGGAAGAGGGAGAACCTTTTTGCCACCATGAGCCATGAATTCTAGGACCAATCTTTCTTTCTTTTCTCTTTTCCTCTAGGATGTGAAAAGTACCCTGGAAAAGTAAGTGACTCTGTCTTGCTGAGTTAGGTCTTGGCTTAGAGGCTCTGGGCTTAGTAATCACTTGGAGGAAGTGAGGGAGGGAAGGGCATGCAGTGTCTGAGTGAAATGTGGAGAAGGATGAACGGGAGTGATAAGCCTTCACCTCCCTTCTGACATCAGGCCACTCCTGGTCAGAACAGTAATAACAGCCAGATTCTGCTTGAGCTGTGGGTAGAACTGTGTTCAATCAAGATGGCAGAAGAGGTTGGGAAGACAGGAGTACTAGGAGGGGAGGGAGACTGTCCATTTGCATGAAATGTAAGAACACTCCAGGAAGCCCTGAGGCCCATTCCTAAGATACAGCTCTGTCAAGGGGGCACATAGCCTCCAGGGACAGTAAAAGGGGCTGCTGCCTTCAGGGGGAGGAGAGTGGGAGAGGTCTGGTTCTTCTCAGTAAGGATGGCAGCACTCACATACTCACTTGGCAGGAGCTCCTGACCCTGTCTGGCTTTCTCTATCTCCTATCCTTCCTAGATGTGAGAAGGTGAAGACCATGGAGGTGACTTCAGTTTCTATAGAGCTGGAAAAGAACTTCAGCAATTTCCCCCGCCAGTACTTTGCCCTAAGGAAAATTCTTAAGCATCTAATTGGTGAGTTGTTCCCAAAAGGAAACTGGCCGAGGGCATGAAAGGGGTGGAAGGTCAGGATCCTTCCAGGACCTGCACTTTCCTTATGCCCCCAACCACCCCTCAGCAGCATTCAGCCTCACCTCGAATCACAGAATTCAGAGAAGCCATGGGGAGCGTCTGCTCTCAACAGGGACCTAGAAGTGTTACAGGATTCCTAACTCCTCGGGTGGAGTGAGCACAGCATTTACCATCTTAGCCGGGACAGTGAGAGGAGACATTACTGACAGAGAGAAAAGCAGGGGCTGTTTGAGGGTGCAGGCTCGTGTCTGCCCTCTCCCCAGCCCTTAGCCCGCTTGATCTGGGTCTCTGTTTATGGCCCTCCCTCAGCATGTACAGCAAAAGCTAGCATGACTGGGAAAAGCACCCAACCCATGGTGTTCTGGGGACCGTTCAGGAGCCAGGCTTGGCACAGGCAGGCTGGGAAAGCAAGGCAGGGGTGTTTAGCTATTCCCATCCTCATCCAGCTCCCCACTATGGCTTCTCCCGCCAGCGGATGTGACTCTGGACCCCGAGACAGCTCATCCTAACCTCGTCCTGTCAGAGGATCGGAAAAGTGTCAAGTTTGTGGAGACAAGACTCCGAGACCTCCCTGACACACCACAGCGTTTCACTTTCTACCCCTGTGTCTTGGCTACTGAAGGCTTCACCTCAGGTCGACACTACTGGGAGGTGGAGGTGGGCGACAAGACCCACTGGGCAGTGGGCGTGTGCCGGGACTCTGTGAGCAGAAAGGGCGAGCTGACGCCACTCCCTGAGACTGGCTACTGGCGTGTGCGGCTGTGGAACGGGGACAAGTATGCAGCCACCACCACACCTTTCACCCCTTTGCACATCAAGGTGAAGCCAAAGCGTGTGGGCATATTCCTAGACTATGAGGCTGGCACGCTGTCTTTTTACAACGTCACAGACCGCTCACACATCTACACCTTCACTGACACTTTTACTGAAAAACTTTGGCCCCTCTTCTACCCAGGGATCCGGGCTGGTCGGAAGAATGCTGCACCACTTACCATCAGGCCCCCAACAGATTGGGAGTGACAGGAGATGCAGCTTCATTGGGGTGAGGCAGGGTCAGGAGCGATGGGCCTTCTTAACTGGCCTGCTGGAATGTCTTGGTGTCTGTGTGGTTCCAGTCCTGAGCCATCTTGAGACACCACCTGGTCTCGTTTGTGTGAAGGAGTAAAGATAGGACTGGGCTGCACGACAGAGCACAGACAGTGCCCTCCTCACTGTGGGGGAGAGTTGGGTGCCCAGGGGCTTGGAATCTCTGGTGCCCAGCAGGTTTCCTATTGCACAAGGACAGGTCAGGGGAGAAAAGGCCTTTCTAGAAACAAAGCGTCTGTGTTGACAGGGTCTTAACTTGCTTAAAATGCAGGAAGCAGAAACCTTTAAAAGGCTTCTGTGACTCAGAATAGCCCTGTTCCTTGTGGTAGTGCATAGGGATCTGTATACTTCTGTGTTGGAAAGATGAGCAGCAGCTGCTGTCAGGAGGCTAGAAGTTGAGGGACTTTTCTGAGGGCCGTGACTGGGCCGTAAAGTTAGGAGGATCAGGGAAGAGGCTAATGGAACATTTCTAGAAATGAATGAAGAGAAGGGGGACTTCTTTGGTCTTCTGTTGTTAAGGTAATGCTACCACTACCCATACAATTAGCCACAGGTTCAAACTTGGGGAGAAGGAAAGAGTGGAAAGAAAGGAGAACTAGGTCTTAAAGCTGGTTGTCTCCCAGAAGTAGGCTCCCCTTAGAGGTGAGACAGAAGAAAACCTGCAAGATACAAACCTGCCCTTCCACTGCTTTCCTAAGGCCCTTCAGGAAGAGTCAGGTATTAGAGGAAAGGGAAAGGTACCCACAGCCCTGGCCTTAACGAATGTTCCTAAGTAGTTCTTCCCAGGCTGCCCACATGTCCCCTGGCGCAGATGTTCAAGCCAGAAAGGAAGAAAGTAACAGAGTCTTTCTCACCCCATGAGCACAGGGTAGAAGAGGGTGGTTTGTGTAGCAAAGGGCCAGATAGACAGCTTAGCTTCTATTAGCATTCATCACCCTTTGACATTCCCCTTTTCAGAGAATGTAAACCATTTTAACATTAGGCCAGAGTAACCTATAGGGTACATATGTTGTCACAAAAGGTAACACGATGCATGCCAAACCAAACAGCTTGGATTATCTGCCTGGGTAATCTTCACGGAAGACTGGGATGAGGTGCTGCACTGAGGGCGTCTCAGCCCCTCCTACCACCTCAGCAGGATTTTGTCCACTCTCCTCTTACCTTTGTGCCTTGACTGTGGGTCTTTGTGGCAAGATAATTTGGCTGGTCAAAATATGGAACAAAGGATCCACTGATGTGATCTCTTGAGTTGTGTGGTAATTTGGCAGTGGCCTTATAAGAGAATGGCTAGGTACGAAAACTATGTTGGGTCTCACTGTCCTCAACAGGTTTGGGTGGGCCTAGGCTACATGTTAACACACTCATCTGGGTCTGAAGGCCCATAAAAAACATGCAGGTGAAGTGTCAGCTCGTCGCCTTGCTCTGACCGGGAAGCCTGGTTCTGTATCCATCCCGGCAGGAGCCCTGCGACGGAGATCTCTGCCTCCTGACTGGTACCGACATCCTCAGCTTGGTATTCTGCCTGTATCCCTCTGCTTTTGACCTTGGCTCTCACCCAGTCATGGGAGTTAGAAGTAAGCACCAACCGGTTTGAATAAATGAGAAGACAGGTCAGAGAAAGGAGTGTGTAGCTACTGAAGGCCGGCAGAGGACACTGGCCGTGCTGTAGAAACTATTCACATGACCAGCCCTGTAACAGCAAGTGTCTTCTTTCCTATGTGGAAAAGTGGGGGAAAGCCGCGATTTCTGAGGGCTAGGAGGTCTTTCCTCAGGGATGTTTTCTCCTGTTTCTCACTTTCAGCCCCTCAGGCACCAATGCTTTTTGGGTTTGAGTCAGGGTCTGGCAATATAGCCCGTGCTGGCCTGAAATTCATGGCGGTCCTACCTCAACGTCCCAGGTGCTGAGATAACAGGAATATAACACCAAGCTGGGTATTGCCTGTTTTGTTGTGTTCCCTCAGTCAGTAGGTGATCCAGGAGTCTATCTGCCTTTGACTTCAGGAGACTAAGACAAAGCCTAGCCCGTTACCCACCGCAAGCAATCTTCTCCCCCACCTCCGTAAAGGAAGAGACCAGCCTTCTGGGAATGTTACGACATTTTACAATCCTCTGCCTGTTGTACTAGCCGCGCTGGACCCTACCTAATAAATAAATGAGGAGTACCAAACTAGGTCGCCTGCCTTGGAAAGGGTGCGCAGGGCGGGTGGGATTGTCTGGTCTAAGACGAGCGGCTGTGGGGCCGTGGGCACCGCACTACAGTTCCCAGCAGGCCTCGCGCGCGTCTGGGCGGGACATCCGCGAGGAGGGGCAGACACTCATGGCGGGCCCGGTGAAGGACCGGGAGGCCTTCCAGAGACTCAGCTTCCTGTACCAGGTGAGACGGGGCTGCGGGCGGGCTGCAGTCCGGAACTGCGGCGCCGGGGCCGCGGACTGACCCGGGCGGCCGCCCTTGTCCCCAGGCTGCACACTGCGTCCTCTCGCAGAACCCCGAGAACCAGGCGCTGGCGAGGTTTTACTGCCACACAGAGAAGACCATCGCGAAGCGGCTGGTCCTGCGGCAGTAAGGCTCGGGCTGGCGGGCGAGCCGGGGGCGCGGGCTGGCGGGCGGGCGCGGGCCGACCGCCTCTTCCCGCCCAGGGACCCCTCTGTGAAGAGGACGCTGTGTCGCAGCTGCTTCTCTCTCCTCGTCCCGGGCCTCACCTGCACGCGGCGCCAGAGACGTGAGTGCTGTGTCAGGGACACTGGAGGGCAGGGCGGCGCCCAGCAGGTCCTGCCTCCTAGAGGGAGAGGCTTTCTGCAGCGGAATTGACCCCAAGACCAGCTTGACCACATGGCACCCTGTAGTTTAAAAAAATAATAATAAACTAACCCCGTTTACTTATTAATTCCTAAAATGCATTAAGTACCACTTTTTAATCCCAGTGGATCTCCAGGAGTTCAAGGCCATCCTGATCTGCATAATCCAGACCAGCCATGGCTGCATAATGAGATCCTGTCCAAACAAAAACGAATAACCACTCTGGTTTTGGCTCTTTTTGACATAAGCGACACTGTAGCCCGGGCTGGCCTCCAACTCACTGAAATGTATGGCCCCAGCATTCCTAGGACCAGGACTGCAAGCGAGAGACTGACTGCACACCCAGCTACTAGAGCAGTTGTAATTGCTTTGACTGAAGAGACTCACTTCTGCCGCCGGCAGGGAAGTGTGGGGTGAACAGGCAGACCGGCGCTCCAGACATTGGTCAAGGGGCAGGGAGGTGGTCAACGCAGGCTGTAACCCCCGCCGTGGGGAGCTGGTGCAGACGTGCAGATCCTGCGGCTCTCTGGCCGGCCTGTCTGAGAACATGGAGCCCCGGGTTCAGTGAGGGACTGGGTAAGATGTGGTAGGGGAGACACCCAAACTAGACTGCTGTCCGCCACACCTACCCCTAGGTGAGTGCTGTGTGCACACTCACGCCTAAAACACTAACACATATGCATGTATTCGATATAAATGATGACTATAAATACAGAGTTGCAAAAGGAGAGAGCGTTCAGGAGGCTGGAGTTGGAGGTAGGCAGCACGGAGAAAGGCGAGGCTGGAAAGGGAAGCCATCCATGTTTGTTGAAGAGTTTGAACTTCATGGGAAGAGCTCCATTGATACGTGTACGGGGCCTCCCACACACGTATCAGATTTGCATTCCAAGTACAATGAGATGGAATTCCTACTGATAGTGGAAGGAGAACTGCAAACAAAAAGAACCTTTTTCTCAGAAGCCAGAGTACTCTTCTTCCCCGCCCCCTTATACCCCAGGCCGAAAAGGACAGCGCTGGACAGTGCAGACCTGCCTGACATGCCAGCGCAGCCAGCGGTTCCTCAATGACCCCAAGCATCTGCTCTGGGGTGACCGCCCCGAAGCCCAGCTGGAAAATCAAGCAGGTGAGCACCCGTAGGGAAGGATGGGGGGTTCCAAGGGGTAGGACAGTGGAGAGCTGAAAAGGAAGGTAAGTGAGCCCGATTAATATAGGGGGTGCCACGGTCTTAGGAAAGTAATTCTCTGATTCTCCTTCACTGTCCAGATTTCAGACCATCAGAGCCCCCACCAAACATAGCCCACCTGCCTAAGGAGAATGAGTGTGCAGCCTCAGACTAGAAACACCAGTGACGGATTTCTTCCACTTCCCGGATAAATAAAGTTAAATTCTGCTTGACTTCGTGTTCTGTGGTATTTCAACCGGTAATGTCATTGTCCTCTGGTTTTTGTTTTTTTGGGGGGTCAGTGTGACCTCTCCTTACATCTTTGTACTCCACCATTCAGGGAATTCCCGGTTTCCGTACACCATTTGTCCCATTGAGCAGCCCTTGCTTAGGGCTCCACTGCCTTGTCACCGCTGTGCCCTCAGTACACCGCTGTGTTTGGAAATCAAGCCTCAGCATTTCCTGCAGGCTGGTGTGTCTCCATATTGAGGTGGTGCTGGCTACTGAGAAGGGGGGCAGACACTGCGTAAACCTGGGCCTACTCAGACTTGGCCATTTCCCCCTCTCTTAGGTGTTGGTGTACTGTTCGGTGGAACATATGCAGTTTACCCTTGTCCATTCCAATGCTGATTTCTCCACCGTCTGCTTTCAATCTGGGCGTTGCTTTGTGATGCTTATTGTAAGCCTCACCTGTCTCAAGTGTGTGTAAACACACCAGCCTTTGTTCACTGTATTTTCAGTAAAACCACTGGCCAGTGCTGTGCAATAGAGAATTAGGAGGGGAAGGAAGGGCGTGGGAGGAGGAGAGATTGGCAGGACAGGACTTGGAACCTGGAGGAAAGATGAACAGGACCTAAGACATGACTAAAAGCAAGTGCAATTGGTAAAATCTGTGTGGTAGGAAGCTATGTGGGCTTGGAGGTTTAGGATGCAGTAACTATTGCCCAGCACTGTGCTCTAGGCTAACTAAATCCTAATTTCTGTGTGGTGATTTGGGTATACAGCTGGTTTAGGAATAACTGCTGCTTAACTGAAAGATAAATCAATAAAAAAATATTAATAACCCACAACAAATGGTGTACCAATGTGTGGCAGAATTTACAGTAATCTAGCAGGTAATTTACACAGTAATTTACACAGAAAGTAAAACTAAAGAGCAGTTTTTTTAGTTCTGTCCTTAAAAACAGAGCAAAGGAAGTTCCTAAACTAGGAACTCACAGATTCTTGGTTAGACAGACCCCATGCAGAGCAGCAGGGTCTCCAGCAGGCTGCAAAAAAACAAAATTTGACACATATAAACCCCAGAGAGGCAGTTTCTTTAGGAAGAGAAAAAAAGTGGCTCTTTAACAAGCAAGCTTCTCAAAGCCAAGACTTCGCTAGCCAAGACAGACAGCAAAATCCCTTTGAGAAGGGGTTCTTGCCGGTCTGAGCAGCAAACACTTGTGGACCCAGTAACTTCCCAGAGTGAGGAAGGGGTCAGGATACAGTGCGGGAGGCAGAAGAAACACCTCTCCCTGGAAACCGGTGCCAGACTGAGAAGCCTCGGGCATCTGAACCGGTAGGGTCTGGAAGGGAAGCTGGGTTTAAGAAGGTAAAGTCCTTACAGAAAGATTTGAGATTAAAAAGGGTAATTTTCTATGTTGAAAATGGAGGATGACACAGTGCTTCTGGGTACCATTTGAGTTTGTTTCTCTTTGCATACACAAAATTTTTTCACTGATAATTTCAGGTTTGCATATCCTCTTTGGGAGAGATCAGGATAAGACTTACTTGGAGAAGGAAGAGACTGAGAAAATAGATGCTAAACTTAAAGCTATAGAACAGAGGTTGGGGGAATCTTTGAATCAAAATAGCCTGCAGACCAATCCAATCTGGTACTTACAATAACACCAGAAGAGGTGGTTCCGATGAGAAAAGTCCACAGAGGTTTGAAGATATTGCAGAATGGCAGCCCACTGAGATGCTGGAAAGTCTTCAGCTACAGGCCAGCTTGGCCAGACTGGATATTGTGTGTGTGTTGTTAAGGTTCAATGACTGGATGAAAGTCTATCTGCTATAGTAGAAATGCAGATCCTGTCTAGTGCTGTCTTAGAACAAGCTCCTCCAGTGGCTGGTGTGCTCCATGTCACAGAGTTCAGCGAACTGAAACATATGCCCCATGCCATAGATTCATATTGAAAGGGTTAGACTAACTTTGTAACCTGTATGTCTTCTAAAGCCTATAGTTTTGAGTTTTAGGTTCAGGTTAAGCTAAAGCCTCTTAGTACCTTTCCAGAGAACAGAGAAATGTGACCCTATCTGTGAGGACAGATATAAAAAAATCAAGTAAGCAATGACCTTCACTCAGCAAAAAGAAGGACCAGACCCTTGTCTTTGAGATAGTGTTTCTCAGCAACCAACCAGACAGCCTCAATCCTTCTTCTGAGTAGTTCCTGACCTCCAGCCAAGAGACCCACAGGCCTAATCTTCAAGGATGAGCTAACCACCCCCACCTTCAATTGCAGCTGCATCCACACTTGGCAGGACTGGCCAAGCTTGAGCACCTAAGACTAACCAATTATCTTACTTTATAGCTTCCTCATCCAATCCTAAATTGCCAAAACTGCAACTTCAAATTTCCTACAATTTTTCTTTAAAAAACTGAAAGGCCTTTGTCTCCCGGTGCTACTCTTTGCTGACCGGCAAAAGTGACCCCATTGTGCAATGGTTAATAAACCTCTTGCTTTTGCATCGAGTCTGGTCTATGGGAGTTTCTGGGAAGGGCGTGATCTTGAACTCCTGAGCTGTGAGACCCCAGGTCTTACACAGACACGATATGCCCACGATACAACTGTGGCAAGATGGTTGGGGGAGCGTGGTGGTTCGATTGAGGAATGCCTCCCCTAGGCCCAAGCACTGGACCGTTTGGTCCCTCGTTGGTAGTACTGTTTGGGGCTCACGGAAGTTTTAGATCGCAGCCTTCCTGGAGGAAATGAGCGCTGCAGGAAAGCTTTCAGAGTTCATAGCCTTGACCACTTCCGGTTTGCTCTGGCCTTCCTGTTGTGGCTGCCTGAAGATGTGAGCTCCCGGCGTCACATGCAAAAGATGCTCTTGAGTTCCTCTACAGAGGTTTGTTTCTTTGTCTGTTTTTCTCCCCTTCCCCAGTAGAATGGGGTGTGGAGGTGGAATTGAGCTATTTGGCTGCGGCCTGCGCTAGTTTGTTCTGCAATTAGCTGAACGTAGGCTGTGCTGGGGCCCTTGGCTTGTGCTCCCTGGTAGTCTGTGCAGCACAGAAGTGAGGGGACCTGCCGGTGGCTGCTTCTGCAGATGGTTCTCAGGGACAACCCGGGTCCGTCCAGCTTGCAGTGAAACCCCGAAAGCAGAGGGCAAAGAAATCTGGGCGCTCGCCTGGAGAAATAGAACCTGGTGCCTAGCGGGCTCCTGTCTCCTACACTGCGCATCCCTCGGAGACAGGGAGGGGCGGGGTGGGGAGGGCTCCGGCCTGCTGAATGCCAGGCCTGGTGACCTCAGCGAACCTCAGCGTCCTTGTCCAGTGGTGGAAGTGACTGCTTGGGGGAACTGCCCGGAACTACAGGGCTCCGCCCACCAGGCAAGGACCCCGCCCACCAGGCAAGGACCCCGCCCACCAGGCACAGGGCTCTGCCCAGCAGGTACAGGGTCCCGCCCAGCGGCACAGGGCCACGCCCACCAGGCACAGGGCCCCGCCCACAAGGTGCAGGGCTCCGCCCACCGAGGGTGTGGGGCGTTCTTTGAGCCTGAGAGGTAGGGTTGCCGCAGCTACCGCCACTGCAAAGTGGAGCACGAAAGACATGACGAGGCCAGATGAGAACCCACGACCGCCCTGAGAGGGAGACACGTGCCTTCCTGAACTGTGGGTTTGAGGGTCCAGAACACGCTGAGTGACTTTAAAAAGGAATGCACACGGCAACGAGGCCCGAGGAAACCCGAGGAGACGCGTTTGGAACCGCTGCCTCTCTGGCAGGTTAGCCAGGGTGGCGGGGTTGACCTGAGCCGTGAGTCACCTGCCCCGAAATCTCCACTTTCCCTAGAGAAGAGTCAGAGGAGGCTTCACTCGGAATAGACTCTGCGCTGATCCAGTCTGCTGGAGGAGACAGGGCCTTCCCAGGAGACTGCGGTCTGCAGAGACCGCTTTCCCGCTCTGCGCTCTGCAAACCCGGGGGCGGGGACCGGGACCTCTGCAGCGATGCAGGCAGAGCAGTACAGGAGTTGCTACTCCAGAGCAAAGTCAGCCTCATCCGGATCTGCTCCAAAAAGAGGAAATGGGTCGCTCTGGCGCGGTGTGGAAACGCAATAAATACCCTAGACTTAGCGGTGTCATGTAAAACGAAGAGCTATCCAATTTGAACTCAATGAGCGCTCTGCTCGCCAGGAGAGCTGACCCCTTTATCTATCGACGGCCCTGAGCTGCTTTGTGGGTGCTGGGAACTGAACTCAGGACCTCTGAGGAGCAGCCAGTGCTGTCAATCACTGAGACGTCTCACCAGCCCTTATTTTGATTTCTTTTTGTAAAAAATAAGAAAAGTAATCAGCCCTCATTAGCTTAAAGATCGATATAGCCAGAGAGACAGCTGAACGGCTGGAGGTGCTGGCCGCCGAGCCTGGCCACCTGAATTAGATTCCACCACTCACTCCAGTTCTGCTAAGCACTAACCGGTCATTGCAAACCCAACAGCCGCAGAGATAAAAGACACACAGCCTCTGCAGCTGGGGACGTTCAGAGCACCTCACTGAGGTGTGGCTGCACTTCTTGGAGCCTCAGTAAAGGAGGAAACGGTGCTTTGCATCCGGGCAGGTGCTCACAGGTCCCTGCTGTCTTACTAAAGAACGAAATAAAGGCAGTGCTATTCCAAGCCTTTCATCCCAGCACTCAGAAGGCAGAGGCTGGTGGATCCTTGTGAGCTCAAGGCCAGCGTGGACGACAGAGTCAGACCTGCTATCAAAAAGAAAAGAATGAAATAAAGGAGCACACAGGTTTACAAAAGTACCGAGAAACCTCCATTTAAAGCAACATAAGGTCAAAGGCGTGGTGGCACAGACCTTTAATCCAGCACTCCAAGGGCAGAGGCAGGCAGAGTTCAAGGCCGGCCTGGGGTACAGCATGAGTGCCAGAACAGCCAGAGCTACACAGAGACTCTATCTCTCTCTCTCTCTCTCTCTCTCTCTCTCTCTCTCTTTTATTAGACAATACCAGGCCTCCAAGACAGTTTGGATA